AGCTGTTGTTCAGCATCTTAGCTGTGGAGGGCAGTGTCACTGGCCCTCATATGTGGGATCCAAACTGGGGCCCTCTGGCATCCCAAGCCAGTTCTAACCAATGCGCCACTCGGCCAGCCCTGTATCACATTTTTAAAATAAACTGTTATTTTAGAATTGTTTTAAATGTACAGAAAAGTTGCAAAGATAATACAGAGAGTTCCTGTATACCCCTTCCTCCGTTTTGCCTGTCAACATCTTACATCACCATGGTATTTTTGTCACTACCAAGAAACCAACACTGGAAAATTCCTATTTAAAAACTCCACACTTAATTCATGTTTTAATAGTTTTTCCACTAACATCCTTTTTCTGTTCCAGTCTCCCACCCAGGATACCACGTTACATTTAGTCATTGTGTCCCCTTAGGCTCCTCTCATCTGAGATAGTTTTTCAGACTTTCCTTGTTGTTCAGGACCTTGACAATTTTGAGGAGTACTGGTCACATATTTCATAGGGTGTTGTTTGATTGCATTTGTCTTCTGTTTTTCTTGTGGTTAGACTGGGTTTATGGGTTTGGGAGAAGAAGACTCCAGAGGTGCGGTGCCCTTTTTATACGTCATGGGCAGCATGCTGTCAACATAACTTGTCACTGTTGGTGTTGGCCTTGACCACCTGGCTGAGGCACTGCTTGCCAGGTTTCTCCACTTTAAGGTTATTTTTCCCCTTTTCATACTCTAATAAGCCACTAAGTATAGCCCATACTCAAATTATGGGGGTGGAGGTGAGTTAAGTTTTTAAACAGAAAACCAGAGGCCTAAAATGGTGTCACTTGTACTAAAGCCCATGACCTAATTACAGTTTCTACCTTCACTAGAAACGTGATCTTGATCAACTGGACTGGAATTTTCTGGTCAAGCACCAGGAAGGTAACCTATCACAGGGACCCTCTCCGTCCCCCAGAGGAAGAAGACACAATATGTATGATAAAAACCCTTGCTGATCCCCTCCCCCCAAAAGATGATGCCCTGGCCTAAAAATAATCCTTTCTCCAGAGAGGCAGCGCAGTCCCTGGTCACAGCAGTCACTTTGCCTCATGAATCCTATCTTCCTTACCATGTAAATGCAGCCCATGAGACCCAAAGAAAGATCAGCCTGGAGAGAGAGAGGTCTTTGCTGAGGCTCTGATGGGCTCATCATCATCATGCTGGCCCATCATCACAAAGAGCTACTGGGATTGAGCCTATGTTGATAGCATAAAAAGTGATGCTAGTGGCATTCAATGATAATTCTCTAATAAGGAACTGTTGGAGGAAAGTTTTAAAAATTATTCTCGAAATCACAGATTTTATGAGTGCTTCTCCAAAAATGATGTTAACAGGCTGGCAGTTGCAGAGTCATGGACCTAGGTTCCCCTGCTTCACCCCTGCTTATCAGCTCCTTCTGGTTTTAAAATCTTAATTAAGTCTGGCACATGCAACTGTTCGCTCTTCATTTCCATCTGACAGATTTGACCACTTGGCATATTAATGACTTGGCCACCTACCAACAGCATAAGAATCGGGATAAGTCCCAGTAGAGGTTCTCTCCTCTGCTTCAGCTGAGTTTGGTCTTGAAATGCTTTGAAATCTATGGCAATAAAAGCACAGGGGAACAATTTAATTGCTTGATGGCAGCGTTGCTTTGCACTTGCACAATCCGAGAAAATCATCTTTGGGAAGTTCATGTGTACATCTGCTCAATGTCATCGCAGTCACACCCAGCTCACAAAATCTCTCTTTGGTCTAAGAGATGCCCCCAGAACAAAATGGCTTCTTGGACCATTTTATTTACTAGTTAAGTAACCACAGTTCGCCATTCCTTTAATACAGAACATCAGGACTCCCCAAACAATGTGACCTGTGCTAAATTACCCAAAGACACATAATTTGGAAATATGGAGCCACCTGAAAAATATGACTACATGACACTTATGTTCAAAGGAAACAGACAACCTAATGTACAACTTAGGTAATGACAACTCAACAGACTTCACCCCTTCTCTACTGTCTAAAAATTTACAACACCAAACGTCCTCCCCGTTTTCTTATGCATAAGGAAACTCCTTTCCTTATGCATAATTCATTGCCTTTCACTTCCACTCTCCGCGTGTTCTTACGTGTGGATGGACCCCCATGCCAGTTGCCCTGAGGGCAGACCCCAGAGAGCAGCCCCATTTCATTAACCCATTGGACTAAAGCAGCGCCACATGGTAATAAGGACGCCAATTACTGGACCTCAGGTTTTTCTCAGCATTTACCACCCACCATTCACTTCAGCCCAACATCTCAGGCAGAATGAGCCCACTTAATAGGCCCTCTCAGCAAGCCACTCACAGAGCACACTTCTGTTACACGTGCTCAGGGCACTGCAGTCTCCTAACCAAGCAGAAACTATTACTTTTGTAGCCTAATACAATGGAAATTCTATGTATATAGTTGTTGTACTTTGTTTAGAAGACAAACAAAGCCAAAAAAGGATGAAAAAAGGCAGGAGTTGTAGCTTCCTGTTCCCATACAATTTAAAAAGTTATAAATAGATGGGGAAAGGGATAAGCATTGAGAAAACATTTTGCTACAGAAATAAATTAAAACCTTAAGTATTTAGACAATGGAAGAAGCAAAGAGAACTGCCACAAAAGCCACCTCTGCATATGAAGAACTATACAAAATGTTACAAATGTCAAAAGACTGTTCTAAACACTGGAATGCATTCATCTCAAATCACTTTGGTTATTAATTGCCTAAATATTTCCAAGATTTTGCACAAGAAAAAGATCCATTGCAGGATTTTAGGTCAGGAAAAAAAACTGGGCTACACATTTGGAAGGTAGAGAAAAAGCACTTGACCTTTGAAAAGATGTTTGTCACAGTCTGTTTGTAGCAGGGATTGCTAAACCAACCTAACGAGCCTGCATGCGGAAACAGCATCATCCACTAGAGGCCAGAATGAGACTGTTGTGTTCAGTGCTACTGAGGCCACTCAGTTCCAGGAGGTATCAGCAGGGGACAGGTTCCAGGACCCGTGCGGATACCCAAATCCTCAGCTGCTCAAGTCCCTTATATAAAATGGCACAGTATTTGCAAATAATGCACACACATCCTCCCGTATACTTTAATTCATCTTATACTACTTACTTATGGATTACTTATACTACTTGATACAATATAAATGCTATGTAAATATTTGCTATGCTGTACTGTTTAGAGAATAATGACAAGAAAAGACGCCTGCACATGTTCAGTACAGACGCAACCAATATAGGCCTAATTACATAGTTAGTATACATCAGCAACAACATCACATTTTTTTTTCCAAATATTTTCCATCCACGGTTGGTTGAATCCACAGATGCCAAATCCCTGGATACAGAAGACTGACTGTACGAACTTTGGGAGAAATGAAGCACAAGAACATGAATGAGTGACACCACAACTGTCTGTGACATGCCAACCCTATACATTTCTGAATCCTCTTACACAGAGTTCCTTTCCACAGCCAAATCAGTGAGCAAACGAGGCACTGACAGGACATCTGTCAGCAAGAGCTGACACTAAGGAGGACTCAGACACTGGAACGAAAGTGGATGGAAGGAGAGAAGGGAAGAAAAGAGGATAGAGGAGATAGGTGTTGGCAAGAGAGAGGCCAAGAGTCAACCGTGTAGCTGATATAGGCAACAGGTAGAGAAAATGCCTCTCAAGCTCTCAGACCAGAATAGACTGTGAACCGGCTGCAGCCTAGTATGTGCGTGGAAAACTGGTTAATTACACGCAGCACATGAACACTGTGGAACAGGATGCAGCCACTAGTGATGAGATTGACCTGTCCATTGGGATGGAAAGACCTCTAAGATCTTATTATGTAAGAAAGTAGTTTATGCGGTAAAGGATGATTACTAGAATTAGTGGGGTGATCATATTTTAAAGTATAAAGATATTGCATCACTATATTGTACACTTGAAACTAACATAATCAATGTAAGATTGTATACCAACTATACGTAAATTAAAAAATAAATTTAAAAAAAAAGAAAATAGTAGACAAGATGCTTCTTAATGATGGCATTTGTGTACATTTGTTACGGATATGCACAGACACATACCCACACACTTATGTAAAATATTTCCAAAGAGGAGATACACACACACATACACACAAACAAACAAACAAACAAACAAAAACAAGAAGGCTCCCAATTAGGGCCATGCACTTGCTAGTTGACCCCATTCAGCTCCTTTCCCAGAGCCTCCCCTCAGTTTTTATTCAATTTTCATCCAGTCAGACACTCCTGGCTACCATATTTAAAATCACAACCCCCCCCCAACACGCTCTATCCTCCTTTGCTGCTTTATTTTGCTCTAAAACACGTATCGCCATCTGCTATATTTCATGGTTCACTCATTTATCTGTGTGTTTCATTTTCCGTCTCACTCCACTGGAATGTAAGCTTTATGAAGGGAGGAACATTTTTGTCTGTGTTGCTCACTGCTGTGTCCCCGGTGCCTAAGGCAGTGTCTACTCATAATACCGTCTCAAAATGCTTGTTACAAGAATTAGTTAAGTCAAGCCCTCTGTTGTTGTTCTCTGAAATGTGAAAAAAACTAGAAGTTTCTCATGGTTACGAAGGGAACGAGATGGGTGAAGCAGCCACTCTGGACATGACCTCCAGTTGACTTTCCTCCAGTTGACTTTCCTCCAGAAGTGGGTCCAAGGAATCAAGGGCATCCTCTTTCTGTTGGGCCTTACACTCTGGGACTTTCCACTTAAAAGTGTTCACGATCTGGAATGAGTTGGATGCAAAGTACTAACAGGGGAAATGCAGCTACTCATAAACTTTTGATGGAAAAATAGCCCTCCTCTTCCAAAAAGGCCATTCACTCCAGCCAGTGACACCGGTTTGGGAGAACACTGGAGAAGCCGGGGAAGGGCACCTACCTTATCTACCTGGCTGTTCACGGGAGGGCAACTGCCCTCATGTTCTTGTCTGGAATGAAGTTCTACACTCAGCCCGCTTCTTCAGCTGCTGGTCGTACACCAAAAAGACACAGCAGAATGCCAATTAACAGCCCAGCCAGGATTCTTAGCAGGCAGGAGAGTGTCTTCCTATTACCATATTTTGCTGAAATAATTTTGAATTGTGCCTCGGAAGTAGAGAATGTTAGAGCTTGTATATTCTCTTTGCAGAGTTCTTGCTAATGGGGATACCCCAAACGCTAATTGGATTCTGGGGGCAACTCCTTAAGGAATCTAGCCCAATTTCACAATTTTTAAAAAATGTAAGTGTGAGAAATGTATTCAGAATAAAACATTTATTGTCATGTGGACCAATATGGTAGTTGGAGTCGGGCTAGCTGTAAATATTAATGGGATTTTTTTCTACTTCTCCATTCCTACCAACAAATGAGTTTCCTCCCGAAGATCTAGTTCTACTTAATATGTAGAGACAATTACTTGGTGCAATTTCATGGTTGGCTTGTGTTCTCTTCCGTTCTATTTATCAAGTGGCTTGCATTCTATTTTAAATGCTCTCACTCTTAAATGCATGAATATATACAGTAATATCTCTCTCCTCAGATTATCAGACCTATGACTTATTTCGAGCATTGACAAGCCAGTTCAAGATAGAGGTGAAAAGGGGGAAATACACCACATCATCAAACCACATGATAGACCTTCAGTGCATAATTGATTTCACCACATAGTATAAGCTAGATTAACTAATTTCTCAGAAGACTGCCAATGTTGATACTTAGCTATTTAAAATTAATAGTATGTGGCAAAACAAAAGAGTAGTCAAACCTGAGCTTCACGTCTCCATGTTTATGAGATGAACTTGCAGTGCTAGACATTTCCCGGTACCCCCCACAGCCGGTCATTCTGGATGTCGTTTCAGGGGTAGCAGAATATAACTTCCCTAAAAATAGAAAATAAGAAGTTACAAATCCTTCATGTTGCAGATAGATTTTATTTTGCACACAGATTTATTGTGTACATAGATTTTAGTTTGTAGATATACACTGATATCTGCACTGATGGAAGGCATGCCACTGAGCTTTCCAAATCGTATATTATACGCACACTTGAATAAGTATTGTCTTCTACCATTTGCACTATCTCAAAATAGCTTGGGAATGTTGTATTTTCCTATTGCAACAAAGTATATAACCTAGTTCCAAAAAAAAAAGAGAGAATGAATTCAAATAAGAAAACATTCTTGCACACAGATCTAGCAAGAAGTTTTAAATTCCTAATCTGAGTTTACTCTATGAAATGAAAATGCATTAATCATGTTCTATTTACACAGCACTCAACTTGGAGAGGGAGATTCTATTTTCTAATGCTTGGTTATTAAAATATATTTTATATAAAAGGCATAAAACGCTTATTTCCATACAAACTACTAGACAGCAAAATGCATAGAATCATCATGCTCATGGAAAATGCAACCACCTGACAGAGAGATATATTCAACCAGAAGAATGCTATAGCCTTTATCTTTCAGAATAATTACTTTCTAAGATTATTGTTAATTAGCTAATGGCTTTTGATCTGCCAAAACAAAACTAATATTTGCATAGCATCTTACAGTTTATGGTTTACTCTGATAATTTTTCCTGACATGGCATGAATGTTTGTGTCCCCTCCAAAATTCATATGTTGAAATTCAACTTCCCAATGTGATGGTATTCGGCGGTGGGGCCTTTGGGAGGTGATTAGAATTAGCTGAGGTCATGGGGGTGGGGCCCTGATGATGGGCTTAGTGCCCTTATAAGAGTCATGAGAGAGCTTGCTTCCCCTCTCTGTTTCCGTGAAGTGAGAACACAGTGAAAAGACAATCATCCAAGAACTAGGAAGCAGTCCCTCACTAAGCGCTTGATCTGTCAGCCCTTGATCTTAGACTTCCCAGCCTCCTGGGAGAACTGTGAGAAATAAATGTTTGTTGTTAAGCCACCCAGTCTGTGGTATTTTCTTTATAGCAGCCCAAAGAAACTAAGACAATTCCCATTTTATATTAATGGAAAATGAAGCTAAGAGGCAAAACATGTAGGAGTCTGTGTCTCATCCCCAGTGGCCATGTGACATGCTGTACAAGTGCCAATGAGTTTGCTACTCTTCCCCAGCTTTGGTTTCATACCATAGTTACCTTGAAGTTTCCAAATGCTGGTCTCTTCTGGAGCTGTCTGTTCCACACAGCCTTGTCCTTGGGGACAGGTGCCCTTCTCACCTTCCACAGCCACATCACTCCCACACCCATCTCTCCACTCCTTAGTCTCCCTATGTAGGCTGGCCCCTTTAGACCGGCCTTTTCCTTCTGGAGATGTGATTGCTGACTCTGATTCAGATTGTCTGGGCCCCTGGAAAGGCAAAGAGGAGTTCCTCTCTTCGGAAGAGAGACCCCTGATCTTGTTCAGCATTTGCAAATAATAGAAATATGTCTCCAGTACACTGGCCCCTCGCTCTGGTTTATGTGCTGGCGCATCACTCCAGGAGAGGCTATCGCCAGCATCCCGGGGTGGGAAGGATCTCTTCAAACCAGTTTTGGAAATATCTCTGGAAATGAGATGGCTTGAAGAAAATGTCTCTTCCTTTTGCTCATGAGTGGTTTGCATGGTGACCACTCGGGGTGTCTGTGTGGATCCACCATCCATCTTAGGTGGTGGCCATTGGTCAAACCAAGTGCTGCTGCGTGTACCATGTGCATCCGCAGTGGCACCCGGACGTACACAAAACACAGCATTCTCCAAGGGGCCCTCTGACACACTCAGCGAGAGGCTGGCAATTTCAGGGGCCACATAACTTTCAGGATGTGTTAGGTCAAATTGCCTCTGCGTTATCACAGGAGGGCTGCTTTTAGCAGAACTATGCACACTTCTGTTAGGACCACCTCTTGGCACTCTCCTCATGATAGTCTTCCCCATGCTTTCTTTGATAGTACATTTCCATTCATTTTTATGCTTAGTATCAGTTTGAGGGGAACACAAACTAAACCCCACATTTTCTGATTCCTTTCTTTTTTGACTAGAGCTGTCATAGGGGGTTATCCGTTGACCCCAAGGCAGTCTCTGAATGGGGTCTTCACCTCTGGAGCTGTCAGCCTGGAATTCCCCTGTGAGATCCTTGGCGGTCCCCACAGGGGACTCTACTCCTGTGCACTCCTCCCTGACTTCACCCTCCAGGAGTGTGTCCCCAGGGGAGGAACTGCCCCTTAGCATTGTGGTTTTCAACACCACTGTGCTGCTGTCACTTGTGGGAGACAAGGTGACTCCTGTAAACCCTCTACACTTCCTGCCTAGAACTCCCCTTCGAACTGTCCCTTTACTTTCTCGGGGTTCATCTGAATGGTCTTCCTCTGAGCTGTCTGTCAGTGGAGTCCAGAAGGAACCATTTCTGGAAGGGCTCTGACTGGCTTCCTCTAAAACGCTCCTCTCTTCAGAAGTGTGTCTGAGTTGTGGCGGAGCCCTCAGCCTCTTAGGAAACATCTCATCCTCACTGGGGTTCTGAATACCACTGTCTCCTGCTCTGCTGTATGTTTGTTGAGCATTATCTTCCTGTGGAAGCCTATCAAGAGGGCATCTGGCAGCTCTTCCCTCTCCCTCATCCCTAACCGTAGTTTTTTGCCACCTGCAAGACTGACTGCCTTGAAAACCCTCCTTCTGGAAGGAACTTAGAAATTCTGAAGACACGCCCATTTCTGACAAGTTATTCTGAGGGCTTAAAGAGCAGCTGAGAATGTCTGTTCGTGTGATGGACTGGTCCTCTTTGAGCAGGGGTGGAGAATCAGGTGACCACAGAGGGGTATTTCTCTTACTTCCTAGAGCCCTTGAACTTTGGCAAAGGTTAGACTGGGGGAGTCCTAGAGACTTCAACCCATGCTCTTCTGGAGGATTGGACAAGAACTTCTGGGCCCAATTTATAACATGTCGCAACTTCTGTATCTCAGGGACCAAATCATCATCCAGCAGATGGAGGTCCAGTTCTGTTGGGAAACTCACTCTCCCAGGTCCCTCCTGGTGCCTGTGGTCCTGACACCGCTCTGCTTCCATGGGAGCACCTTTGGACATTTCCTGCAGTGGGGGTTTCTTTCCAATTGCTAAATAACGCGGTGACGTCTGATGGGCTCTCAGCCTGAAGGTTTGATTTTTCTGGGTGATTCATGTTGGTGTCCTGGGAAGTTGTCAACACCGGTTGGTCACCATTTCTGGAATCATCACCCTTGATGATCCCAATGCTTTCATAGTAAGCCACACGCTTGGCCCGTAAATGCTTTAGGTCATGGGTTCGAGGAGTGTCTACCTCATTCCACAAAGATTGTCCAGTCAGTGTGGGGGGTAAGGGGTCCATCTGCAAATAAAAAGGCAGAGACATTAAAAAAAAACAAAACCATCAATGATTCCTCTATCTACAAGGTGACCCTACTATATCCACTAATATCCTACAACCCAACCAACATTTTGATAAGAACTTGAAGCAGCTTTGTAATTATAAGAGCAAGGCAACTAATGTATTAAGAGAAACTAAGAAAAATTTCACCAGTAATATTTTATCACATTCAGTCATGTTTTGGATCTTAGTCACTGAATGAGAAAGGTTAATATTGTCTTTTGTAGAAGATCTATGCCAATTAAGTAAATAGAAAATAGAAAATGACTCCTAAATAAAGGTAGTTTGGTTATTTCAAGATGTTTCTACTAGTTTCTTTCTTTCTTTCTTTCTTCTTTTACCAATATCAATTACTTTGATTTTTATAAATGGCATAGGAATTTTAAAAGAAAAGAAGAAAATCTAAAAGGGGAAAGATGGAGAAAGAGGATAAGACAAGAACATTTCTTCAGACCCACTCAGTACAACCATCTCAAACCAATTTATCCTTCCTAACTACCTTGCCAATCCAGGTCAGGACAGGGAGAAACCAGATGATGAAGACAGAAAGGCTCTAAATCTAACATAAAAGCCAGGAATTGACTTCAAGTTCACCTATCAATCAAATGTTCTACCAACCAAAACTGGACCCCTGACAAACCTGCACTTAAAATAAATAAATGAATCCTTAAAGCCCTTTATTCTTAATGCAAGACAAGTTTTGTAAAAGAAAACTTCTCTTTCTTCCTCCCTCCTCTGCCTGATTCACCCAAGTCTCCCTTGAGGCACCTCCAGTAATTTGAGAATTACTAATATAAAAAAATACCCTTCAAAACACTATTCTTCTGTGCACAGAGTTCTTCAGCATTTTTGCCTTGCATGGTCAGCCCCAGGACATTTCTGTACGAATGAATAAAGTAACGAATGCAAATATGCCTGACACTAATAACTTCGAGATTTATAGCACATATGTTTGGCCAAGTTCCATTGTTCTCTTCTTTGATCTTTACAGTGATCCTGAGAGCGTTTCAGATGTGGTGAGGCTCAAATCAGAGATTTGTCCAGACACAGAATTACACCTGCCACGCCGAGAATGGAAGTCAGATCTTCTGGTCCCGAATTCGTGGCTCATCCTCCTATTTTATTGTGAGTCACAAGTACTGAAATGTGACTTCTCATCCCATCCCAGGTGCTTAGTGATTAAGAGCTCTCCACTCTGGGGGCAGGCCCACCCTTCCTGCAAGGGCTCCATGAGAACCAAGACATTTTGAAGGGGCTCTTGGGAAAGAAGAAAGGAAGCAAGGAAGGAAGGAGAAAAGGAAGGGAGGGAGGGAGGGAAGAAAGAGGGATGGAGGGAGGAAAAAAGAAAAGGAAAGGAAAAGAAAGAAAAGAAAAAGAAAAAGGAAAAGCACTTCTTTTTTAATTACCAAGGACTGTATGACATAGATATCTCTGAATTTCTCACCATGGCTGTCACCAAGCCAGATATGACTCTGAATTGAGGAAAGAGTGTGTCCCCCAGACACCACTTGATTTTTTTTCAAGTACCCATTTGGCCTTGTCAAAATAGTCCTGATTTCAAAAGCGTTACTTAAAAAATTCGGTATCTACACCACTCTCTGATCTAGAACAAAAGTTCTTAATTCAGCTGCTTTTACTGAGCAGCTACTATGTGGTTTGCACAGGAGGAACAATGCATGGAGCTTAGATGTTTCGAGTCTAGAGCAGGGGATAGATGAGCAAACAGGAAACAGTATGGCTGTTTCCTTGAACATGCCTGGTGAATATAGCTTGGTCCCATGCCAGATAATACACTGAACTTGGCCCTTCATTTTTCACTACCAAAGAAAATCTAAACACATCAAATACGCATAAGTTTGTATTAGCCTTTCTGATTTCCTAGAAGTGGTGGGCTCTGTAGCCCAGAGCATACAACTTCATAAACCCCTGCACAACATGAAGTTCCCCTGATTCCAATCAACAGGGGTTTCTCTTTGTCTCTCCACCATGCCCTGCGCAGAACACTGCCAAAGCTTCTCAAACCTCTTTTACGGGGGAAATCAGGCTCTGTTCCAGCTCCTTGGAGCTTACATGCTTAGAGGTCCCTCCAGTTATTGAAAATAAGTCCATTTACAGGGACCACTGGGGGCAGGGGATTATTAACAAACATTCTTCCTAACAGATGAGCAAACCGTGCCATGTGGTGTGTGATCCTAGGAGCTCAGGATGCTGGGGGTGCCTTCAGAAGGGTATATCAACAGACTTCAGAGAGGTGATACCTCAGCTGAAGCCTGAAGGTGGTACCAAGTTAGCCCACCCAAGAGAAGGGAGGGAAGAATGCTTTTTGGTTTTGGTTTTGCTATTGACGTGCATGAGTTTCCTCGTATTTTGGAATAGTAACCCCTTATCAAATAGATGGTCTGCAAATATTTTCTCTCATTCCATAGGTTACCATTTCATTTTGCTGCTTGTTTCTTCTCCAATAGGACTGGAGCCCCTTCACGTACTCCATTACATCTTATATGTTGAGAGTGCCCTTTTAAGCCAAGGGTTCTCCTGCCGATGAAAACATGGGAAGTTCACTATACGACATTCTTATTTTGCAGAGGAGGAGACGAAGGCATGGAATGACTAAGTAACTTGTGCAAGGTCAGCCTGATTGAGACAGGCAGCGCCAGGATGAGGGCCCGGGCTCCACAGTACGACAGGGTGGGTGCTGAGCACTGTGAGCAGTCAGTTCTCACAAAGAAGCGGCCCTGTCATCCCTCACTTAGTACCATCCCCCATCTCTGACAATTCCAGGTCACCGTGGTTACTTCTTCTGACACTACGCCACTTACTGTCTATACCACTGCTTGGAAACTAATCACATATTGCTTCTTTAGCCATGCTTATATTAGTCACTTGAATTATTATTACTTGAATTATCTAAGTTTTGACCAAAACATTTTGAAACAACTCAATTTTACAGGCTAGTTTCAGGTACAGTAAAAATAAGGTGACCAACCATCCCCATTTGCCAGGGACGGGGGTGTTACCCAAACTCAGGACTGTCAATGCTAAACTTCGGACTGCCCCAGGCACAGCAAGGTGGTTGGTTACCTAACTTCAAAGAACGTTTTCCCCTTGAGAGTAAGTTGCCAACATGATACTCCATCACCTCTGCATACATTAGTGTAAGTTTTCTACAAACAAGGACATTCTCCTTCATAACTTGCAATACAACCAGCAAAGCAGGAAAGTAATATTGATACATTATGACTGTCTTATCCTCAGTCCCTATTCAATGATCAACAATTGCCCCCAATATTGTCCTTTCTAACAAAAGGATTCAGTTCTGATTCACATGCTGCATTTAGTTGTTATGCCTTTGGTCTCCTTCAATCTGGAACAGTTCCTTAGTCTTTCCTTGACTTAAATGATGTTTTAAGGTAGCCACATATCGTATGCTGTGATAGGGTGCTCTGGAGCACCAAGAACATTTCTATTCTTGAAAAAGATGCTCCACAAAAAACTGACGGGCCAACACAAAGTCAGCCCGCAAGGAAAGGCAGCCATGATTCCCCTGGGATACTCGCCTGGCTATTCTCAGCAACAACCAAAATTCCCCAAGAGCCTGGTGTTCACACTCTAGCAAAACCGAAGAGTGAAAAGACTGTCTTCCTCCTTTCCTGATTTCTTTCCATTTGCTTTTGAAGTCAAGAACCTTTCATTCTAGGCTGGCCCCAACAGCCTTGGCAGCATTGGACTAACTCATCAAGGAGTGAGATGCTGGGACTGCAGAAATTAGTCAATAGGGCATTTGTGATCTCAATTTTTACCCATTTCTAATTAAATTGCACATTGCCTTGAATTGACCTTACTTTTGTCATGATGCAGATTAGGGTGTCATTAGGGCCACAGTGGGGTAAAGCCGACTTGGCTTTTATCTAGGCCGACTGTGCCTGTCACTTGTTAAAGATAGACACTCATATCCAGAGAGAGTACAACTGCAACTATGCCCACAGGTAGTAAACAACCAAGTGTCAAGGGGATCATGGCTTTTGGAAACCCAGTGCCTTTTGTACAGCTTACTTACTGTAAACAATGACAGCACAAAGACCCTTTGTCAGGAAGTTGTATGCCAATGGCCTCAGAAATCCCAAAACCAGTAACTAATAGAAAAAAATAAATAAACTCTTGGGGTGTGTGTGTGTGTGTGTGTGTGTGTGTATGTCTGTGTAATACATGCACAACCATGTAATAACAATAATAATTGCTAACACATAGAACTTAATGTTTTGAAATCAGAGGCACAGAAAGGCTAAGTAACTTGACCAAGGTGATACAGCTTACAGCGGGAACAGCCTGAATTCCAGCCCAAGCCTACTGGTTCCAGAGATCTTGCTCTTAAGTCTTGAATGTACTACTTCTTACTTTTAATTATTTAGTTGGCTCTACATTGACATAACCAACACATAGCTCAAGTTGTGTTTGGCGATCCCAAATTGACAGGTGATTAATTCAAACACAAATAGACTGACCTGCTCATGGAAAAGAAAACATCTGAATCTAAATAGAAAAAAAAAAAAGTTTTGAAATTATGGTTTACAACTACTTAAGAGTGTGGTACAGAACTGGCTGTGTCAGTGTTTGCAAATAGACAGATGTTTGCTTAATGAGTCCATATCTCATTCCTTGTTGAAGGCCAAGGTGGTTTTTAGACCTCAGAGCTTCATTTTT